TGAGCTGACTACAAAAATTTACCCAAGATCTGCAGAGCTTATCTGGTTGATAATCAGCCCACTCAGTTTGAGAGGTTATCTCTTGATGCTACAAAGAGATCATTTTGTACTATTGTCATTGACTGAGACAATGCTTTCTAATTGCATAGCTATTCTTAATTAGTATCTAGATTTGATATGTAAGATAAGATATACATAGATTGTGTTTAATGTATAGATAGAATTCTTATTATGAATATATAATAGATTAGTAAACGATGTGCTTCTTATATTTAATTAATGTAATTTATTCTTTTGTTTTCTGTGACATTTGGATATTCGATTGATAATTTCTGTTGTATTCTTGGATATTTTAACCAGTTTTATTCCCTTTTATATTTTCCATAGAAACAGTTGACTGATAGGAGCAACTGTCATTTTAAACTTCTCCCATATAGTTAAGGTATTTCGTAGTCGAGCACACCATCTGTTGCATTTAATTACATTTTACATTTACATTTTCAAGGTAATTGAGGTTGTTGTCGTTGCCGTTGTTGTTGTTGCCGCTTTGATTTTTGTTGTTATTGTCATCATCACATTTGTTGTGCTGTGGCTTCTCACTATATGTACCCTCACATGTACATACATACATATAAATGTATATGTGTGTGCTGTGATATATTTTTAATTAACTTATTTTTAAGTATATAAAAAGCTCAACGAGCTCTCTTCCGACGCGTGCTGTGAGCCACGCATGTTGCCAACCAACCAGCAGTCGCCCTCTCCGCCCACCGCCACGCCCCTGCGAACGTCTTGGCCAACTTGTCAATCAATTGTCGCTCGCTTACTTTGCTTTGCACACGGCATTGGCCATGAACTTAACTGAATATCCCTGCCCAAAAAATACAAAAACTTTTGTATGCAATTTCTGTTTGCCATTTTGAAAGCCATTTTTTTGCAAGAAATCAAGGGAGCGAATCGAGAGAGTGCGAGTGTGTGTGACTGCATAATACTCGCTCGAAGGACCATTGAATACCTAAGCATTATATTGTATCGGTATATACTATAAATGTTGCCTTTAGAAGGTCTTATAATAAATGAAGGAAGGAATTCGAACTGAAATGCTAACGACTGCAAGATGCTCGTTCGGAGCTAGTCGGATATTCCAATTCATTAACTCAAACGCTTAAAGATATGTACTTTCATTAAGATTAAATATTAGCTTTATCCCAGTTGGATATACACAGCTGTAAAATCCAAGTTTAAACTCTCTGTTGAATGAACGGGCATTAGCTCTTCAATATACTCTGATCGCTTTATGAAAGAGATTAAGAATCTTTCTCTTGGCATAGTCGACGACTGCTACTTAAGTGGTTCCATTAGGCGGTCGCTGTAATTTATAAGCTTTTAAGCAGCATCAATTTGCTGTTGTTTAGGGTCAGTAAACGGCAAGACGGTGAAAACAAAATTCCATCTAAATAATGCCAAGGCACATCCTGTGGGCGAGCTATTCACATTCCAACATTCACATCCATATTCACATTCACATTCACATTCACATTCACATTCACATTCACATTCGCATTCGCATCCACATTCACATCCATCAATGTCAGACTGAGGACGTCTGTTCCAGCTAATGAACTTGGACAACAATGCAAACCCCATTGAACCGCCTCAAAGCGGTTTCCTCTCAATGCTCGTAATCCTTTTCGGCTGTCAAAGCAGCATCCAAGCAAAGGACTTCAACTTCAATTCTACTGAGTATTCCACACTAAATTAAACATGAATGAAAATTAATCTGTATATTTATTTATATATTTTTATATATGTATATGTATTTATAGTAAAAGTCGAACTATATTACTATTTTAATTAATATTAATTATATTGTCATATATTCATATATTTTCAAGTATATATTTGTTAATTTTATAATTATTATACCCCTTTATTTAAATTAAATGAATAATAATTTATGCTAATAAATAAGGAATATTAATTTCAAATCTCAAATTAAAATCCTGTTTATTTATCAATAAACGATACATATATATTACTTCAATTAAAGAGAAATTTAATTTTAATCAGATATAAATTATTGATAATTAAATTAAATTTCTTCCATTTCATTTATATTTAAATTAAAAACGTTAATGTACGTTAAATTTTCTAAAAATTCAAGTAAATTGAAATTGTAATTAACGCTTCCTGAGACAAAACACACACCCATGTTCTTCTAGTTTATCTAGGAAATGTGGAGAGCTTTAATTACAAAAATTGTCTCCAGCAAATGCAAGAAAAAGTGAAACGTAATACGAAATAGGGAAATGCCTGCCAAGTTTATATATGTAAATAAAAGTTGTGCTCCAAGCTGACAGCCAACAGAAACTTGCTGCAAAGCAGAAAGTCATTCAGACACACACACACACATACCTGCTTATATATATATAGATATATACATATGTATAGATACTTCCTTGCCTTGAACTTAGTTCAAAGTTAAGCCTGCAAGGAATATGAAAAAAAAAACAACTTGTAAATGTAAATTCGTAATTGCAAGCTTATGTAATGGGATTTGGTAGTGAAAATGGCAGCTGGAGCTGATGGAGGAGCAGTCAGTTCAGGCGGAGGCAGGGTGGGTGGGTCGAAGGACATGCCAGGATAAATCATAAAGTTCAACTTGAGCTGCATTTCAAGCACGTCAACAGCTGCTTGAACTGTGCTCAGCCTTTGACTGCAGCTGCACTCAAAATTAAATGAATTTTAATGATAGGCACACACACACTCACACACGCACACAGACGAATATGCAGGCAAGTGACGGCACACTGACCCTTAAAAGTATGCAACATATTTATGTAGTCGATGTACAGCTAATGGGCGTCGCTGATTGCGCCACAACGATTGGCGTTATTAAAAAAGTCCAGCGACAGTGGCAATTACGTCAGCAGTGACAGGCGCAGGACGAACAGGACTCAAAGACCAAAGGACGACAGAAGAACAACTATCTATCTGGGCAGTGCCTACGCAACGTCAACCGCAGTCAAACGAACTGTCACGTCCTGCGCGGCCATTTTGTGGGCGGTGACAACAGCAGCTGGACGCCACTTTGATAACAGCGAAAGTGACGTCTGCAATGCAGTTGAGAGAGAGAGAGAGAGCGAGAGAGTGAGAGAGAGACAGAGAGAGGGGACAAACACTGCAGATATATGTATATATCCATATATTATATATTTTATAACAGTAAATAAGTGGAATAAGTCTGAATGAATGTTGTGTCTGAATTGAACTGATGAAGAGAAGGAGATAGAGAGAGAGAGAGAGAGAGAGAGAGAGAGAGAGAGAGAGAGAGAGAGAGAGAGAGAAGTAATGCAGCGCGTGTAGCATAATATTTAATATATGCACTAAGAAAACGAGTCTGAGCAGAGGTTTGCATTAAATCCACGTCTACATATGAGAAATAAAACATGTGGAGTAAACAGAATATAAATAGTGTATAAATAATATACCTTAACCTTTAGCTGTGGGCATTTCTCCAGAGAATAAAGTGACGTGCGTAGAGCAATCAAGAAAGTCAAGAAGGGAACCTTTAAGAACCCAACGGCGTGTATCAGTATACTCTATTAGTATACATATATACCCACGTCTTATATATAAGTACACACATCATTTATCATACATTCATTTAGTATGTGAACGCGTTGTATTTTATTTGTATTCTGAATTGTGGATTTATCAAGATGTTTCCAGAAATGCTAAAGTTGAAATTTGAGATTCTGTTGTTTCGTCAGCCAAGTTTTGTAATCTATTATTATTAAATTGATTGGATATTGATTTGAGAAACTTTTACAATAGAAAGCAGAGACTCACATCTAACATAAAATCAGACAGAAAGTAATACATTGAAACATATTACCATTTCATTTTGTATACAACTATACTAATTCACTTATGCATGATCGATAAGAGAGTTTGACTTACTACTAATAAGTACAACTTTACGCTGTCAAATTAATTTCCACAACTCTCACACACTTCAAAAACTTACCTCAATCCAAGGCTCTTTTTTGCTAAATCCCAACAAAATGGTTTGCCTAAGTAATGCTCTAAGCCCTAGCTTTAAAGAGCTTAATCTTAAAACACAATGTTCATAAATTAAAACATACATATTCATATAGTTTGTATATATGTAAAGAGTGCATTTTGAATAGGAGCTCAGCTGAAATTTCAAGCACATAATTCCCGGGTGCTGCTTATTAAAGTTGTAGTTCGTGGAGGCTGCCACTGGAGACTGTAGAGTGGAGAGTAGAGAACGGAGAGCTGTCATGGGGTTGGGCTTTGATGTGGCATCAGGCATCAGGCATCAGGCACCAGGCATTCTTATTAAAAATGCATTAAAACGCTTAGCCTCACAGTCTTTGCTCAACGGTTCCCACGAGCCGTGGCTCCCAGCATCCCGCCGCTGTCTATCCGCTTTTCAGGTCCTGTCAGCCCGTTGGTCCTGAGTGTCCTTTTGACGCATTTTCCACGCGCTTCACTTTCCAGGTCATGCGTCAGTGTGTGGGCGTAAGTGTGTGAGTGTTTGAATGTTTGAGTGCAGGCAACCGATTGGCAACTACAGCTGCACCGGCTTCAGCACTACCTTGTCTGCGAATTCATTGTCTGCTCATTCTCGCTCCAGTTTATGTGCTCGTGCAGCTGCAAGCTGTTTACCCAGTTCTGTATTTCTCTTTTATCCTCATTAGTTTCCTCCTCATTCAGAGGCAACTGAAAGGAAAACTTAAAAAACGCTTTTCACGGAAATTCTTTATGGAACAGAATTTAAATATGAATAAAGCTTGTTGCGACTAAGGGAATGAAATTGTGCAGGGAAACAGTTGAATTGGAACACGAATCTGAATGTTATTAATTAACTGAATACCTTTTGGTGAGGTGTATATTTTTTAAAGTGAATAAATGCATGAAAATATGTATGTGTATAAGTATGTGAGTATGATAATAATAAAAGACTGGAGAAATACGGCTTTGAATGTATTTATTTACTCTGAGCATTTCTAATAGGGTTTAAGGGAAACAGCGAGCATATAACATGGGGATTAGCAATATCTATGCTGAACATTCCTTATAAGCTTAACGCTGTGTAACTTAAAATAAGCTAAATTGTATAAAAACTAACTACAGATTAAAAAAAAAAAAAACTATTCTCTAAACTCGAAAACTAAGTAATATATAGAAAGTGTATAGGGAATAGCACTCTGATAGACTTGTTATCAAAACATTATCCAATTGAGTTTTCGTCTTAGCTATTTTTAGTTAGCATCCTCACTTTAACTTTACATTCCATGAGAGAGGGAGAAAGAGAGAGAATGACAAGGATAGCCATGTACAGAGTCGTTGTGATTATCAGTAGATGAAAAAAACGACTAGAAATTGTCAGTCTAAAAGTAGAATTTAAAGAAATCAAACTGAAACAATATATCAATATATCAAACAATATGATATATTCCTTATAGCAAAGGATTATGACTAAGAATTAAAGTGATCGAATTTGGTATGCGAATTGTCTTTAGGTCTACAACTTTTACAAATAGTTGTCATTTGATATACCACAAAATCTTAGTGTATTTCCAGACTGCCCTTACCTAGTGCCTAGTGCTGCCAAGAATGACAATTGCCATAGTTAGGCTTACATTGTTGGGCTTGTTACTGGGTCATCAAGAGCACATGAATGCCCACAAATAGAGCCTAGTCTATGTGAGAGTTGTCAAAAGCATATAATTTATTTTGATTGAAATTGTAAACTGCATTTCGAATGCTGTCAGCTTGCCAAAATTGAAATTTCAACGATTTGCAATTCATTTGTCAATTGTTGAGCAATTTGCAATGACAAAAACAAAGAAAGCCCTTCCCCCCACGCCCACCACGCTCAATATTAAATCATTTGCCAAATTCGCCTCTCAGCTGCACAATTTTACACTTAATTAAAGAACGGAAGGAAGAAGGAAGAGAGATATAGTGCGAAAGAGAGAGAGAGAGAGATAGAGAGAGAGCGAGACAGCACACTTTGGCATGTACAACAGTTGCTAAATGAATTTTACAGCACTTTTCTGCTTGCGAGCATCTAATAGCAGAGGTCATGACCCCTGCGCAGCCGTGAGTGTTGCGTAAGCCTTATCGCACCTCCGTAAGTCATCAGCCTCGGCTTGATGAGGCTCACGCATTGCCCGCAGCATTATTTGACTTAGTTATAGCTCATTATGATGCCAACATCGTCTATTCACTTCCACTTCCTTCCTTTCACAGCCTCTCTCTCTCTCTCTCTCTCTCTCTCTCCCTGCTATAATTATTAATCTAGCAGTATTTAATTATACATATTTACATAAGCTGCAAATTTAATTATGGTTACAAATAGGGGAAATGAGGATAAGGAAATAAATTGTCGATAGACTGCCATTGAATTTTTGATTGTTTTGATCAATACATATATGAGATATGATTCTTATGGGACAAGGGCAAACTTATATCGTTCGACTCATACCTATCCTGGGACTCCACAACTCGACCCTTTCCAATCTGTTGCCTCAGCAACTATGTCACTAAGAGAACTCATCTCAGTTTGTGGAATTGCTGAGCCATAAAAATATATTTATTACGCATAATAATACTGATATGTTTATATATATATATGACCATATATATGTATGTATGTATGATGTGTGCGTGCGTGTGCTACAAATAATATTTGGTACTTTTACTAAGCAGCTTTTTACATGCAAACTTGTGTCTCGTGTAAAAGTCGAAAAATAGCAACAAAAATCAATAAACATAAAAAATCTGCTAGAGCTAGTTGCATGAAATATACCCTGTAAATAACACATCGTAATAAAAATGAAGAAAATTACTTTATATAGACTATATATACTTATAGCTCATATATTTATAGCATTTACATTAATTTATCGATAGGTCATATAACTCGAATCTAGTAATATATATTAGAAAACTATTTAAGATCAGATAATCAATCTGCGAATCGTTTAGTATTTGATATATTATATATATGTATGTGCTACTATAGTACGATTGTTATTATATTATTGTACTATTCGAATATATCCACCCACTTTGTAAATGCCCATATAAATAGGGCATAACAAACAGTTGTCAAAATGCGCAATTCAGCTGTTGTCAAAAAAAGGAAAAAGAGACGAGCCTCGTGCCGAACATTTAACATGAAATATAGGAGTGTGGCTTGGATTTGTCATATTTGGTAATTTGGTGAAGCAAATCACATTGCATGGAAACGGAAAACGGCAAACGGAAAACAAAGCGTAAGCAACAAATAATGTAGACGTTGAGGTAGTTCTACTGGAAGATACCCAGCAAATGATTTTAGTAGAAATTTGGCGAGATCTATTGAAGTAGTTAATTACATGAACTGAAGGAAAGAGACGAATACAGAGAGGAAGAAAAAGGGTAAAAGAGAAATAGAGAGTAAGCTAAACAGCCAAGAGGACTGAAAGAGAGGGATAAAGTTGGCAAAAGAATTCACATATCCTATATCTATTCTATTATATTCTATTCCGAACATATAGTTTATATACTATTACTTATACAAAAACATCTATTCGCAATATCGACATATTCCTCTGTGCAATAATTCTATGTCGAATATTTTAAGTAGAAACTGAGGTTTATTTTTCTAAATTTAAAAGTTTATTTTCTAAATTTAAAAGTTCGATATGCCCATAAGAAGATTTCACAATTGTGCTAAGTAAATGTCAAGGATGACACATCTTTATAAATGTAATATCTATATATTGCATTTGATTCTAATAGCAGCAGCAGAGAGAGTAACTTCTTCAATGCCTCAGACAGTTTGACATCTTCGACGCCTAAAAGTAGATAAGAGGCAGAGGCTTAAATAAATGTAAATGTCATACGAAAAACTCGCATATGGCCCATACACACACACACACATAGACACAAAATCAAATTGGATTCGAGTCGCGCACGCTCACACACACACACACACACACACAAATGATTCCAGTTGGCAAATGTATTTCTAGTAAAGACGAGTTACAAATTGTTAGCTTATCAAGCAACTTTTGTGTCTGTGTGTGTGAATGGGTGGGTGTTCTTTGTGAATATATGTGTGTGTGTGTGTGTGTGTGGAAAATGACACTATTTCTAGGTATTTGTAATCTTTCAACATGCGCCAATATCCATTTACATATCAAGTAGCTCCACACTTTCAGCAGCAGCAAATCAAATAAATTCGGTCTAAGCCTTGAATTTAAATTATAATTTTATAAAAAGTCCGATAAAGTGGAATTATACACATACATATAAAATGTAATTATCCATAGAATTTTTTTAAATTTCCTCAACACTAGACTGCATAAAATAAATTCTGTATACTATTTCAATTATTTATAATAATTTTTTACTTGAGTAGTATGAGAATTTCACAATAAATTTGTATGTGATCATAAAGTTCAAAAAGAATAAATATGTAGGCTAGTGTAGTTGAGCGCAAATGGATCAATTCAAAAGCTTTGCTGAGAGCTTTAATAGAAAAATGCGCTTGGAATAGAAAAATGAATCGATTCAAAGAATTGACGAATGCAAAACTGAAGGGCGCCATAATCTATTTATATATATGTATAAAACATATATTTATTTATATATATTATATATTTCTTATAATTGTTTTAGTTCACATTTTTTAACGATGCGTTTTTCTAATAATGATTAAGATTATGATTGTACTTATTTATGTAAAATATATATACTCACTCTATACATACATATATATTGAACGTTCTTACACTCCCCTTTAATAGGGCTAGCTGATTTCGAACAATCATAGTACAAATAGATCTCACACTTTTCGCACTGGAGCACACAACTCTTGTTGATGCCCTCGCCCTGAACGCCCTGCGCCCTCTCCTTGGGAATGCACTTTTCATTTTCGTTGCGTTTCGTTGCAATTTCAGAATTTGTGATCGCAAAAACGAGTATAAAACAGCGAATACGAGATGCCTCAACTACCCGTTAGTGTCGGTCACAAACCGAAACTGCAACACAGGATACACTTGACAACAGATTCACTAAACATATATGTGTATATATAGTATATATTCTACATTCTTTGATTTCTCGTTTAAGCTGGCGCCGTGCTCGTTGCGTCTCAATGTGCAGCTGATAATGAAATGAGTTTCAGCTTGCGATTACAGCCGCGATAAATACGCGCGAATCTGAGAGAAATCTCGCATTTTAAGGCTTCTAATGCGAATGCATTGATTTAGTTTGTAATTCAATCGATGCTCGCTCTCCCTCTATCTCTTTCGCTCTCTCTCCCTCTCTCTGCTGCCGCTGCTGCTGCTGCTGCTGCTGCTGCCTCGATCGCTATGGTCTGCTGGCTCTGGCGCTTAATCGTCGTCATAAACTCAATCTAATGCAATTGCAACTGTATTTGTATCTCTATCTCTATCTCTATCTGTATCTGCAACTGCATCTGTATCTGTGTCTCTCGATTTGCATTTGCATCTGTATCTGTGCTGTCTATCTCTGTCGCTTGGAGCATCTCCTCATATGCATGAGACGCTCAGCATTCATCTAAATTTCTCACATGTTTGCAGGCCTTTGTTATTGACAATTTTTTTTCTTATTTTTCCTATTCAGCTTCTGATTTTATTTTCTTATTTTTCTATTTATTTGCGGTTTTCTTAACTTTGAAGTTCTGCCCGTTTTCAGGGCACTTAAGCCGCAAACGCATATGGATACAATTACAGTTAGCATCGCCGTTGCCTATTTATAAAAATATTCGAACACATTCGAACTCCCATTGGCCGCCAGCTCAAGTTCTTATCGATTTTCTGTCTGTTAATAGGTATTTGCCACTTAGGAAATCCCAAGGAGCTCAGAACACAAAATGTCTTGGCTTTCCAACTATCATGAATAAATGTTGGCGGTTGCTTTGCCTATTTTTCTTATACATATATTTATTTATTAATATTTCATTTATAGCTTTTTATATATTTGTTAATCATTTTCTTAGAGGATCCCAACCAACTCTGCTTTACCAATTACAATTTTTGTATGTTTTTTATATATTTTTTATTTATATAGCTATCCTAATACTTATATATCTATCTATCTATATATATTTCTATTTGTATCTTTCTATCTATATATCTATCTATCCATATATCTATTTATGTATCTATCTGTATGTCTATCCAGATAGCTAGATGGTATTATATATGTATACTCAGCTGAACGAGGTATAAAATTATATATAAAATATGCCAAAAATCAATTTCATGTATCATCTATCCATATATCTAACAATTTATATATGTATGTATATATCTACAATTTTCTCTTTCTATCTGTCTAGCTACCTCCATCTCTCTCTATATATATTCCGCATGCTTCGTTTACAGTTTGAATATTCATATAGTAATTCATATACTAGTAATTCAAATCCCTCTGTGTACGCAAGCACCTTGTGGTTTTTTTGGTCAGAAGCCAAACAAACGATGCATTTTCCAGTAGAGTCGAGTTGAGTCGAGTCGCTTTGAGTTGAATCCGTATCTGGTGGCTGGTAAAGTGGGGCATAGTTTATCATTGACTCGAATGCATGCCCCCAGTTGCCGTTATTTAGAAGTCGAGTGAAAAGCCGCTTAGCTACACTTTTCCACTGCACTTTTGGACTTCATCCTCGAGTGCAGCAGACGCGATGAAAATTCTTACATGCCTGCACTCCTGTAAGACAGCTGCCTCACCCCTCTCTACTCTCTCTCTCTCTCGCTCTGTGACGTTATCTCTCCCACTCTCTCCCCCTCTCTCTGTTTTATGCTTATCTTTGTTTATGCAGCCGCCGCACATGAAAACTGAGGCACGTGGCCAAAGCACCGCCCAGGTCGACTCCCGCTTTATGCTCATTGGCAAAGTTGCCTTTGTGCGCTGCGCTGCTCTTAAGCCGCTTAAGAACGGTAATTGTAGCCGTCTGCTGTAGACTCTGTCGGTCCTACGCCCCTCCGCCCGCCGAGCGGAGGCTCACCTGCTGGCCCTTCTCCTTTTATCAGTTGGCCAGACAACCCTTTAGGACTCTCATTTGCTTACGACACGGACGTGAAAGTCACAAAGTTGTGGGCTTAATCTGAAACTTGGGCAATTTGAGTGCAAATGCCGCGACCTTTAATGCTCTGCATTCAGCTACTTCATAAGCCTGGAATTAAATATATCTGAAGAAAAACATAAAAGTCTAAAAGATAAAAAAAGTCAATGATTGCTAAAGTTTTGATTTCTTCAACTTTTTATACAGAGAATCTCAGATGTGAGATTTACTTTGGGAGAAACTTTCTTTATGAAAATGTAAACTATTTTATTATTATATACATTTTCTGGAATTCCGCTTAAAGCAAATTTAAAATTTAAGTATTCTGCCTAATTTTTGGTACATAATTTTTATTATATACAACTCGGTTAAATAAAGTTGAATTCTTCAGTTAGAGTTCTGTTTAGTTAAGGTTCAAGGTATACAGATTTTCAAGCAATTAATCAAAAACTATCAAATACCACTTAAGTCAAACAGAAAACAAAGTTTCTATTTATATCGATATTTTTATCTATATTTCATACAGAAATCATACCAAATATTTAATTTTTTCATTAACTGCTGAAATAATATTCAAACATTATCCTTTACTACTTTTAAGAAATAGAAATAACATTTATTGCTAAAAATGATTTTTAAAATATTAAATAATAAACAATTTGACATTGCTTTTGCTTTTAGCTTTTTTTTCCTGTCTCTGACAAAGTGTTCCATCAGACATTTGAACCCACTTTAACTAGACTTCAATTCGAAATATTCTAAAATTTCGTCACACAATCTTCAGCTGCTCCCAAAAGCAAATTGTAATTCCAAACATAAAATGCCAACTAAAATAAAGACATTTACTTAGAAGAAGAGACAAACAGCTGCAAAGAAGAAAAACTGTTTGCAACTCAAATAGCGAATGGCAAATAGCAAACAGCAAAAGAAGACACAAAATGTGGCACATGAAATGTGGCACAAAACTGAGCTGAACTGTGGCTGACGCAACTAGAACAAAGTTGTCATTGTCAGCAGCCGCTGGCCAGGTCCACGATTCGCATTCAGGCAGCAGAGCCAGCTGAAGCAGATGCAGCGAACTTGTAGCTGGCAAATGTATCTCTGAGATACTTTTACATAATCATAGATACTTCTGGAGCAGCAGCAGCAGCAGCTGCAAATTAATGTTGACCAAATTGAATCTATGCAAACGCTCTCACACATTGCCACCAAACTCAATTATTCTACAGATTCAATTAGCTTTCAGGCGAAACACAAAGGCCGAGGCAAAAGCACTTTAGCTACATGTGTCAGAGGCAAGAGTTTATTTAATAAACTAAGTTTAGGGTTTTTTTTAACAATTAAACAGAGAGCAGAAGTCTTTGATATTAAATGATTTAATATTATGTATATTAAATATATTATATAAGGTATATTAAGTTTGCCATTCTTCAATTGCTCATTGAAGTCCCCTTTTAGCTATCATTTAATACATTTAGAATTATAAGTTGCTCTAAGGCAATTTTATGTAAGAAAATATTATTTAAAACTATTTTACATTTATCAATTTTTTTAAATTTTAACACACAGAAAATGATAAGAATTAAGTACATTTAATTTGAATTTATTGAAGAACGGCTTGACATCGTCTGGGTCTCATGTCACTCCAATTATGTCTGTAAACAGATATTTTGAGGAAAGAAACTGTTATTAACTATTCAAAGTCTTCATCTTTATGAGATATGTACATGCCTTTAAATATTCCTGGAAAATGCTTTCCTATTCTACTCCGAATAATTATAGGAACTTGAAAGCCTAAACTAGAATATATGTATATGTATATGTAGCGCCATTAATAGTTAATAAATTTAATCAAATTTCGTAGACAAAAGTCCTCTTTGTGAAGTGCAAATGGCTTAGACAGCCAATGGCAGAGTGAGGACATGGGCATGTCGAGGGGAAAATTCGGATGCTCCAGCTTTGTGCAAGGGCAAGCTCAAGTTATATAAATACTTGCGAAATATTTGAGTTGAAATGAAACTAATTTCCTTTTGAATTACATGCTAAATAAACTATGAGTCTAAGCCAAGACAGCTGTGGCATCTGGCAAGGACAGCAGGACATGCAGCAAGGGCAACTGGAGCAACTGCAGCAGCTTACTGATGCGGGTTACTGCGGCTGCTTCCGCTGCTGTTGCTACTCCTGCTGCTTCCCCTGCTCCTGCTATTGTTGCTACATAAACTTTTGCGCCTTAGTTTCCACTTAAAGTTAATGTAAAGTTTTTGTTATATCTTCCGCTTGCAGTGCACTCCTTGCCGCACCTGACCGTGCTCAGCCTGTCCGGCTGCAGCAAACTCACCGACGATGGCGTCGAGCTGATTGCCGAGAATCTGCAGAAGCTGCGCGCCCTGGACCTGTCCTGGTGTCCCCGCATCACGGACGCCTCGCTCGAGTATATCGCCTGTGATCTGAACCAGCTGGAGGAATTGACTTTGGACAGGTGAGTAGTGTCAGTAGTGCTAGCCACCCAGCTACCTAGCCACCCACAGCCAGCACAGGTAAGCACAATTTACCTGTGCTGCGCTGCAGCCCCTTGCAATTATTCAAGAGTTAAATTCAATTTCCTACTGCACTTTCGCTGCTGCTGCGGCTGCTCCCCCCTCTCTCTCTCTCTCTTCCTCTCTCTCAGCAGCAATGTTTATTAAATTTGTAACTTCTAAAAGGGCTTTTACGTGTCGAAAGTAAAACAATTTAGCTGCTTAAATAATTAGAAATATGAACTAATATAAACATGAATAATATTTAGTTTCTCTTTGCTTCAGCCATTTAATCAATCTTGAGCAGGGTAAAGGCTATGCAAAGCGTGGCTGATACCCTATAAACCGTAGAGTCTTTAATTGGATTAACCAAGTCTATCTAGCTTGTCTTTCTGAATATTCCCTGATACCCTGCCTTAAAATGAAAAGATCTCATTATTTAGTGGCACGCCACCTAATTTAGGGTATCTACTTGTCAGGCACTCCCAACTATATTATTCTCACTAGTATACCAAGCATACATATTTCTAATATTGCTCTTCCTCTCTCTCTTTCTATTCCAGATGCGTTCACATAACAGATATAGGTGTCGGCTATATCTCGACGATGCTATCGCTGACGGCCCTCTTTCTGCGCTGGTGCTCACAGGTGCGAGACTTTGGGCTGCAGCACCTGTGCTCGATGCGAAATCTGCAGGTGCTGTCGCTGGCCGGCTGCCCGCTGCTGACCTCGTCCGGGCTGTCCAGCCTCATCCAGTTGCGTCACCTGCAGGAACTGGAGCTGACCAATTGTCCGGGCGCCTCGCATGAATTGTTCGACTACTTGAAAGAGCATTTGCCACGTTGTTTGATAATCGAATAATTGATTTCTGGATTACTTTATTATGTAAATGTAAATGTGAATGTGAATGTGAAAGTCAACTGATTTTGATTTAGATTCAGTTTTACGAGTTCAACTAATCGATTTCTATGCTAATTAATTTCTTTAGTCGTCAAGTTCCTTTTGTGCTATATAGAAACTTCTCGTAACTCTGTAAATCCAATATTTTATTTTCTATCTATGATTTTAACTGTGATTTCAACTGGAACTATATATATGAATGCACGTCTATATGTATAGTTGGGAGCCGTTCAAGGAGCTATACTGTAATTAACTAAAAAAGACCCTCTAATTATATTTATTTACAATTACACAGTACAATAGATGATGATCTAATATTATAAATAATGAATTATTTATATTATTGTAGTTTTTAAAGCAAGTTTTGAATTAATCTCACTGTAATTAACCATAAAGAAGAACAAAGAGAAAAGAAAACACAATTTATATAGATATTATATGCATACTTGTATGTGAATGTAAATTAATTCTAAAGATTGCGCCT